AACCTAGTCCAGTACCACACATTGCACTTAGTTGGCATGTCTCTCTAGTGTGTGTTAATCTGGGACAGTTCCTAAATTTTTTTCGTCTTTCATGACATTGACATTTTTAAAGAATACAGGCCAGTTATGTTGTAGAACGCTCCCCAGTTTGCATTCATCTGATGTTTCCTTATCATTAAATGCAGATTTTCCTTCCCTGACTGAAATGTAACAAACGTGACGTCATATCCTCCTCAAGGTATCAAATCCATAGGCACATCATGTATATCTGCCTCTCGTTAATCGTGTTAATTTTAATCATCCAATCAAGGTTTTGTCCAGCTTCTCTACTGTTTATATTTTTCTCCTTGTAAGTAATTAGCACTCTGTTGGGAGATACTTTAAGACTATTCTGCTCCTCACAAAATTGGGCCCCAAGATTTAACATCCATTGATGATTCTTGCCCCAACCAATCTTTACTATGATAGTTGCAAAATGGTAGTTCTTCAATCTCGCCTCTCCGTCTACATTTATTGACTGGCATTTTACTGTAAGGAAGAGCTCCCTTTCTCTATTATTTAATTTTATAATAGATAAGAGATAACATCTAATAAGATGGTGCATTCAAGAGACCTCGGTCAACAGTAAGCACTACAATAAGGCAAGTTAGCATTATATTTTTAATAACAGTGTGAGTCTCAGATCCTTTTATCTAGTCTGAACTAACTTACCTTCTGGGTATTTCCAATTAGCTATTTCACAGTCACCTCAGATTAAATATGTCCAATACAGACTTACTGACCAGTCCCCCAAACCTGCTCACCATCTTTATTCCTATCTTAGTGTTACCAGGTATCAAACCAGGACTCCTGGAAGCCTTCTTCACTCCTTCCTTCTCCCTTCACTCTCACCCCAAACAGACATACACCTCAAGTAGGCCATGACTTCTCTTGATTTTATCTCCTACATATCACTTACATAACCTCTGCTCACCATCCAATTGCCATGGTCATAATTCAAGTCTTCATCTTTCCTCCCCTGGTTTACTTCAATAGCCTTGCAACTGGTTTCCTGCCTCCAGGCTAGTCTTCTTCCACATAAACAGGGACAGAAGTGGCTTCTAAAATGTGCATTTGATACATCCTGGTTTGGTGAGTAGTGTCTGGGGTCTTAAAAGCTTGCGAGCAGCCATCTAAGATACAACAATTGGTCTCTACTCATCCAGAACAAAACAAAAAGAAGGAAACCAAAGATTCAAAGATGAAACTAGTCAATAGGATAAATAATCTACACAAACCATAGCCTCATCTACCCTGAGACCAGAAGAACTAGATAGCGCATGGCTACCATGACCAATCATTCTAATCAGAGCCACAATAGATGGATCCTGACAGAATGGGACAAAAATGTAGAACAGAACCTCAAATTCCTTAAAAAAAAAAAAAAAAAAGCACTTATTGGACTAGTTGAGACTGGAAGACTCCTTGAGACTATTGCCCTGAGATATTCTGCAAACCTTGAACCAAAGCTAACTGCTGAGGTCACCTTGTAGCTAATAACAAATTGGCTGAAGAACTAATGAATATCACCGTAAGTACTGTGCTTCTTTAAAAAAATCTCCTGTATGAGACCATATGGTCAACAATTACTTTAAAACAAAGATGAGAATTAAGGGCAGGGAAACTAGATTACTGGAAACAGAACAACCAGAACAGAAATAATGAGAATGTTCACGCATTGTGAAGAGTGTAACCAATGTCACCGAACAACTTATACAGAGATTGTTGAATGGGAACCTAAACTGCTGTGTAGACCTTCACTGAAAACACAGTAATATATATATATATTTTTAAAAAGTGCATTTGATCACAGCACTCCTCTGTAACTGTTTCAGTGGTTTCTCTTCACTTTGGGGACTAAGTTCCAACTCGTTGTTGTTGTTGTTAGGTGCCGTCGAGTTGGCTCTGACTCATAGCGATCCTATGCACCACAGAATGAAACACTGCCCGGTCCTGTTCCATGCTCACAATAGTTGTTATGCTTGAGCCCATTGTTGCAGCCACTGTGTCAATCCATCTCATTGAGGGTCTTCCTCTTTTTTGCTGACCCTGTATTCTACCAAGCATGATGTACTTCTCCAGGGACTGATCCCTCCTGACAACATGTCCAAAGTACGTAAGACGTAGTCTCGCCATCTTTGCTTCTAAGGAGCATTCTGGTTGTACTTCTTACAAGACAGATTTGTTCACTCTTTTGGCAGTCCATGGTGTATTCAATATTCTTCGCCAACACCACAATTCAAAGGGGTCAATTCTTCTTCGGTCTTCCTTATTCATTATCCAGCTTTCACATGCATATGATGTGCGATTGAAAATACCACGGCTTGGGTCAGGCGCGCCTTAGTCTTCAAGGTGACATCTTCGCTTTTCAACACTTTAAAGAGGTATTTTGCAGCAGATTTACCCAATGCAATGGGTCTTTTGATTTATTTTTTTATTTTTTTCCACACAAAAATTTATACATACATTATTATGTGACTCTAATTGCTCTCCCCATACTGTGATAGCACTCTCCTCCTTTCCACCCCTGATTCCCCATGTCCATTCAGCCAGCTCCTAACCCTCTCTGCCTTCCCATCTCACCTCCGGACAGAAGCTTCCTGTTTAGTCTCTTGTATCTACTTGAGCTAAGAGGCACGCTCCTCAGCAGTATCACTTTATGTCCCACTGTCCAGTCCAATCCCTGTCTGAAGAGTTGGCCTCGGAAATTGTTTTAGTTCTGGGCTGATAGAGAATCCAGGGGCCATGCTTTCCAGGGTTCCTCCAGTCTCAGTCAGACCATTAAGTCTGGTATTCTTACTAGAATTTGAGTTCTGCACCCCACCTTTCTCCTGCTCCATCGGGGACTCTCTGTTGTGTTCCCTGTCAGGGTGGTCATTGGTGGTAGCCGGGCACCATCTAGTTCTTCTGATCCCAGGCTGATGAAGTCTCTGGTTTACTTTCTGTCTCTTAGGCTAATACTTCCCTTGCATCTTTGGTGTTCTTCATTCTCCTTTACTCCAGGTGGTTGGGACAAATTGATGCATCTTAGATGGCCACTTGCAAGCTTTTAAGGGTCTTTTGATTTCTTGACTGCTGCTTCCATGGGTATTGACTGTGGATCCAAGTAAAATGAAATCCTTGACAACTTCAATCTTTTCTCTGTTTATCATGACAGCCCCCATATGTCTGTCAGTTTGTCATACTGTGGGGGCTAGTATGTTGCTGTGATACTGGAAGCTATGCCACAGGTATTCAGATACCAGCAGGGTCATCCATGGCGGACAGGTTTCAGCTGAGCTTCCAGACTAAGAATTAGCCAGTGAAAACCTTATGAATAGCAGTGGAACATTGTCCAACTCCTTAGTATGTTGTATAAAACCTTTTACCATCTAACCCCTTCTACCATCTCTAGAATTGTCTCCCCTACCTCTTCACATTTGTTCTATGCCATCTCCACACCGCTGGCACGGATTTTGAGTTCCCAGAATGCATATTGCTTACATTATAATTTTAGACATGCTCCAGACTTATTCCTCAGCTGGTAAAGGTTCTTAACATTGTAGCTTTCTGATTATTAGCTAGTAAGTCCCAGTAGTTAATGATCTATGGTCAAGTATCAAAAATACAAAGGAATTCTTTCACTTTAATTGTGGTAAATATGTATGCAACAAATCATTTTCCATTTTAACGTTCTTCATGTATACAATTCAGGGAACAAAGGGATACCTTTTTATTGCTAAGATTAATACAAATGGGCCTCGTATCTAGTCTATGACATTTGAAAATATAAATTTCTTATTTGTACATTTTCTAATAGGCTACTCTGCAGGGAATATTTAGCTGTTAATCAATGTTTAAGACACTTATCCTGAAAGTATTGCTGGAGGGCTCAGCATTTCAAGTGAGGTGGATACAGGGATATTATTCAGTATATAAAAGGCCTCGTGGCAATACAGTGCGGAATAGAAATGTCACCTTGCAGTTAGTATTTAATGAATTCTCACTCCATACCCACTTAATTCTCCTCTTTAAAATGACACGTAGGCTCATTTTTGAGGGCTGCCTGGTTTCCTTCCCGGGGAGATTCTGATTCTCAATCAAATCATGACCCTTTTTTCATCGTTTTCTGCCGTAGGCTGATTTGTCTTTGACGCCATCAATAGTGATCTATAAATGTCCCCAATGCTAATAACCCAGGAGCTGCACAATCTAACCTTGCTTTAATTATTTGCTAAAACCGTACCTGGGGTCAAACCGTTTGCTCTCTTCCGTAGGTCCAGAATGCCAAGCCCCTCGTGGACACCCAGGCCCTGCAGACTTTCAGCCACCTTCACCTGAAACTCAAGAAGCTGAAGGTAGCTCTTCCATTTGATCGCTAAGTTAATGTAATAGCCAACTAAGAAAATGTCAGCTCAAACACCCAGGGAAATGCAAAAGCCGGGCCCAGTAAGGGATAAACAAGACACTCATCAAAGACAAGATGCAATCTAGGCAACCAATTAACCTCATCTTGCCCCAAATAGAGATGATTGGTAATTGCACTAGACATCTCTCTCCTGTCTTCATGTTACGTCTGTCACGCTCTGAAGGGAATGAGGAGGGGAAGGGACTGAGTTCACAGTGGCGTGTATTCAGTGCTGCTATAGAGTAAGTAGCATCTTTCCTTTAAACCGGACCATTTCTTAACCACTTCAGAATGTTTATTTCTTGAAGTTGAGGCCATCTGGTAAGGGTAAGAAGCAGTGCTGGTAGTACTGCCTCCAAAAGCAAAATACTGTGGTTTTTGTGCACCTATTAAGCAATAAGATCATAAATGGAAAGAACAAAACCTAAGTCGCCAGTCTTGAGCAAAGCAGCAGATTAATCCATTTTAAAAACCTAAAGCAAGAGGCATACCAGACCCTTTTCCCTGGGGCTCAAATATTCTCATCTTCTGAGCAGTATAGAATATCTCTCTTCAGATATGATTTCCTCTTCAGTGTCACTGTCGCACGTCAGAGTGTTCAAGGCTGGCCTAATTTTACAAGCTGTCTTATCATCCTCATTGTTACTTCCACTCCCAGTGTGTGGAATTGGGCTTCACCCTAATGTACTCCGATTCACAGACAAAGGAGCCTGAGTCTGCCCATGTCACAGTCATCATTGAAGACTGCCAGGCTGCCCTCGCTAATATTTAAATGAGGCGATGTGAAAACCCGCACCATGCTCATGTCATAGAAGATGTAGGACTGAGGAACTTTCTTAAGTGTGCTGCAGAGTAACAGTGCAGGAAGCGGCAGGCGCTCCTGAAAGTCTCCGTGTCTGTCCACAGCTGGAGGAGGAGCGGCTGTCTGTCATCGACAGGGACAACCGCCTGCTCCTGGAGAAGATGTCCTACATCATGCGGACCAAGGGCCAGACTGACAACAGAAACGACGACCAGCGCAGAAGGTAACGATCGAGCATGCTGCCACCCCACCACCATCATCCCCAAACCAGATGAAGCCCACAGATGGCTGCACCCCAGGGGAGGTGGTTACAGGATCTGGAGCAGAACAGCTGTCTATGAACTAGAGTTGAGAAGAGACACGTCTCAGTCCTGTCTCAAGACAGCCACATAGGGAGAGGAATGTCCCTTTCCTCTACAAATCGCAGTTTTACCTGAGACCTCTGGGCTGTTTCCCTTACCTCCAACCAAAAAAGGGGCACATAATAATAGCTAACATTTATTGCGTGCTCACTGTGTGCCAGACATTATTCTAGGCCTTTAAAATCATTGAATTCATTTAATCCTCACTATAACTTGTTGGGAAACCCTGGTGGTGCAGTGGTTAAGAGCTCGGCTGCTAACCAAAAGGTCAGCAGTTCGAATCCACCAGACGCTCCTTGGAAACCCCATGGGGCAGTTCTACCCTGTCCCATAGGGTCACTATGAGTCGGAATTGTCTCGATGGCAATGGGTTTGGTTTTTTCGGTTTATAACTTGTTAAGGTAGGTGCTATTGAGATTCTCATTTTAAAGATGGGCAGACTGAGGCACAGAGAGGTGATGTAACTTGACCAAAATTACAGCTGGGAGGTGGCAGAGTGCAGCTTTGAACCCAAGCAGTCATGTTCCAGGGCCTGTGCTCTCAAAGGTTTCACAGCTTCCACAACTAGCAAAAGGTTTTTGTTTTTCTGCAAGCAGACAATTTTGGCCCAATGTCTGTCTGAAAAAGATCCCAAAGATCATATGTGAAATAGTGACAGATGTCAAGAAACAGCCATTCTACAGCCTGAGAAGCTAATGCTGCTTTTTTAAAAAAATCGTGGTGAATATATATAAACATTTGCCATTTCAACATTTCTTGCACGATCAATGACATAAATTACGTTCATTGTGTTGTGCAAACGTCACCGCTATCTGTCTCCAAATTTTTCCATCACCCTTAACAGAAGCTCAGTGTCCCCTAAGCTATAGGCTAGTGCAGCTTTTTAATAACCCCAGTAATTCTTACCTAAATATGCCCAGTGGAAAGTGAAGTCGATTTCTTTTATTTCTGCCTCTGTGTTGATGGAGAATCGCTGGGTCTTCATAGTCTTTAAAATCACCTTTTAAATTCATAGAGACAGTTATTAATCCCAAAAGCGCCTCTTTTCCAAGGTAAGGAACTTCTCTATCTCCTTGCCATCACTAGAATATGCCCACTAGTTAGATCATTGCCAATCTCCCTTTAAATGCGAAATTTGGATGGTGACTATGTCTGACAATCATAATGAAGTTTTTTTTCTTCAGAAGTGCTTATCGTTTTTACATCTTTAGCCTATACCTGTCTCCAAAAATCTGAGAAAAATGTTCAGATTCCATAATAAATTAAAATATTTGACCCTTGGTTACATGTGAGTTTCACTGGGCTTCACTCTGGAGGTGTTTTTTATTTTTACGTTTTGGGGGGAGACAGTGGGCTAGGGTGTCTGGAATGAGGCCCGGGGCTTCCTGTTATCACCCACTTTCCAGCCTCTGTCATACGAAAACCTGAAGCTCTGGGTCAAACCTTCAGATTTTCCTGGGATCATTGATGGTAGATCTAGAATCACATTCTGCTTTAACATGGGATGTCTTAACCTGGGTAGAAAACTGCTGGACGGTGCTGCTTGCCGGAAAGCTGTAATTCCCAGGCAACTCAATTCCAGGCAGGGGACTAGAGGGGCCCTCCTGCAAGGGGAGATTCTCTCTGCTGCTGCCTGGAATTCTGCAAGGCGCAACTGTTCATACCTGCATGTGAACTCCCAAAAGACTTTCCTCTTGAAAGCCTTCTGTCACACAGAGAAAATGAGGGAGGGGAGGAAGGAGAAGAGGAAGCAGGAAGGATTGTTTTGGATGAATGGAAAGACAAGCCTGACCTAGGGAGGTGCCAGCCAGTGGGCCAGTGGGCCAGTAGGAAGGCCGAAGGAAGGCCTGGGATCAGATAACGGGGGCTGGAAGGAGCCAGACACCAGTAAATTTGAAAAGGGACACAAGAGGAGGCCAAAGGCCAGCCTTTGAAACTTTGCCCACAGCTAGTCCCATACAGGAGTCCCTGGGTGCAAATGGTAATGCACTCAGCTGCTAACCGAAAAGTTGGAAGTTCAAGTCCAACGAGAGGTGCTTGGGAAGAAAGGCCTCGCAGTCTACTTCCAAAAATCAGCCATTGAAAACCCTATGGAGCACAGTTGTACTCTGACACACATGGGATCGCCATGAGTTGGGGTTGATTTAAAGTTGACACTTACTTAGCAACCATGAAGGCCAGGTACTTTGCTCACCTTGAAAACAAAAATAAAAACAAAAACCATAAAACCTTACAATAACCCCAAAAGATAAGTGTTACGATTCCCATTTCAAAGACAAGCAAACTAAGGCTCTAAGAAGTGAAATTACTTCTGCCCCGTTTCTAAGACAGACTGTTCAGCAATAAACGTGATCCTTCCACAATTCCATACTATTTCTAGAAGTTAATCTCTGCTTTTCTTGGAAGTAAAACCATTTCATCCAATATGTGGAGGATTGTCAAAACCTTTTAAATGGTTACCCAAGAAATGTCATTGAAATCAAGGCATCTGTTAATGTGAAAATTGACTCAATCCTTAGGGATTAGAAAAGAACATATGAGTGACACTTTTGATTTAGACAAAGCCAAATCCAGCGTAGTCCATTAGCTCCCTGAGGAAAAGACTGTCTACTTGTTCACACCTTGAGCCAGGGACCTAATAGGCCATTAATAAGTGTTTATTGAATTAATGAATGAACTGAAGATCCCCATTCTAACATTTTAATGTTTCAGATGAAAATTTCAAAGCTTTGTAAAAAAGAAAATTGCTGTTATTTAGTATTGATTATTCACTAACTGTAAGCTAGGAGGAACAAATGGACATTTCAGAACACATAGGCTCTGTCTGGTTGGCTTGTGACTGAATGGATGAAAACAAATCCAGGAATGGAGGACGTGAGGACCTAAGTGAGAGATGAGTCACTGGTGGGCCTGGGCTCAGTGGAGGGCCCTTCGTGTACAATGGTGAAAATGTGTTTCGACGCTTAGAAGTTATGGCGAAGAGCCCGTGATCCTGTCTGAACTGGAAATTAACATATACCACAAATGTATGTCCCCAGATGTGTGTCCCCAGATGTGTGTTCCCTAGGTATTGTAAATCTTTAGAAACTTCTCCTTCTAGTAGACCAAGATTAAAAATCAGAGGCTAGGATAGAAGACGGTTAAAATGACAGCCTGGCCTTTCTAAAGAGTGAGCTGGAATGTCTGCAGGTACTACGTAAAGTTACAAAATACCATTTGGTATTGTAGAGCCACATGAAGACAAGTTTCAAGTCTCTGCATGAAGATACATTTGGTGGACACCTCAAAGTTGGGCTGACTGAGCTTGTAGTCATAGAAGCCTGACAGGGCAGCCACAGAGATAATGAAGCTGTGCTTTGCTTCCTCCTGGGCTCCATCATCTCCTTCTGCCGTGCAGCAAGCACCTGAAGAATCCAGTGAGCATGTCTCCCACATTCATCCATCGTTCTGGGTGCTTCGGAATTCCCTCACTCATAGTGCTGCGTGTCCAAATGCCTCCTCTCTGCCTGCCCATAGTTCCGGACGCAGCCTCCCATGCTGCAGAACATCTCACTGTCATTCTCACTGGGTTTTTAAAGCAATCAGCGACTTCCATGCTGTACATGTGTTCCCTCTTCCAGGCACTTAAATCTTCGCCCAGCTCTGGAAAACATATTGTGAACAAAGTGTGGTAGCTACGAATGTCCAAAATTCAAATGAATTGAGCCTCATGACAAGATTGACAGCACTGGAGTTTTGGAGTGAGGTAACACCCAGCATCCCTCAGCTAATGACCCATAACAAAGTGATGGTAGAAGTGGCATGTCTCCATGTGACTCGTCTAATGGAGACACTGCAAGAATGCAATTAAAAACAATTTTTGTCAACAATGCATCAGTTTTCATGGGAAATAACAAATGTCGGCGAGGATGTGGAGACATTTGAGCTGGTGGGACGATGAAATGATGTAGCTACTGTGGAAAACAGTGTGGTGGTTCCTCAAAAAGTTAACACAGAATTACCATATGACCCAGCAACTCTACTCCTAGGTATATCTCCAAGAGAATTGAAAGCAAGGACTCAAACAGATACTTGTACACCAATGTTCATTGTAGCATTAATCACAGTAGAGAAAGGTGAAAACAACCCAAGTGTCCATCAACGGATGAATGGATAAATAAAATGTGATATGTACCTACAATGGGATACCATTTAGCCATAAAGAGAAACAAAGTTCTGATACATACTACAATATGGATGAACCTTGAAAACATTATACTGAGTGAAATAAGTCAGGCACAAAAGGGCAAATATGGTATGATCCCACTTACATAAAATATCCAGAATAGGAAAATGCATAGAGACCAAAGTTTACTAGTGGTTACCAGGACCAGGGGGGAGAGGGAAATGGGAGTAGGGGTATTGCTTAAGGGGTACAGAACTTTTGTTAAGTGTGATAAAAAAATTTTGGAAATGGATAGTGATGATGGTTGTACAACATGGTGGATATGATTAATGTCACTGAATTGAAATGGTTGCAATGGCAAGTATTTTATTATATATGTATTCACCAAAATAAAATAAAATAAATAATAATGCATTCATCTGGAGCCTGATAACTTGCTATTTCATTTCTCGGTTGACTCCATTCTTTAATAAAGGACGTTTGGCAAGTTAACGCTCTATGTTGAAGGAAAGCAGCTCTTTTTCAGGGAAAACTTGGCCCTTTCCAAAACACTGCAAGGCAGCTGGCTCTAATAGTATAGATCTAGCTAGCTAGCTGGCTTGTCAATAGCAGAAGTCAACACTATGAGAGAAACTGTATGACTGACAACTGTATGTATGTATACAGCTGCATACATATATACACTTAATTTTCATA